ATTCTTAGAGTTCTGGTAATCCAATGAATGAAGGGAAGTGAATCCTAAAAGAGCATCGATACTTAAGTTTCTTGCTGACTGGGCACAAAGTAGTGGTGCCCCTGAGGAAAACGTGAATCTCCCACCCTGCCACTAAAGATCCTCGACGACACTCAAATCGTTGAAAGTACATTTGAGATTGGTCACTGCACAGGGACACTTGGCAGAGGTCTGAAATTTTATAGCTTATATGTAAAAACACTTTGATGGAGGTTTCTCCGAATCAGAAAACAGTGCCAAAAATCTACATGAGTTGTAAAGAAACTCTCCTCAACTTTCAATAAAAAATTAATTTTGATGCACATGCTATTCCCTCTACAGAAATGCTATTGCCAAATTACTGTCATATGAACAAGAGATCAAAAGCACACAGCCAAACCTGGGGAGAAAATATTATAGAGGCATGCCAGGGAGTTAATAGAATATTATATTACTTTTATGGGTTTTATAATGTTTACAGTATTTGCTAGCTCTTTAAAATTTGTAAATTGTTGTGCTTTGGTTTCTCATTTAAAATTTTTACTTTTGTTTCCAAGTTTGTATTTTTTTTCTTAAAAAGAACCCACAAAACTGAATAGCTCAAACTCACAAAACTAAGATCTGCCCTAGACAGAACACTCATCTTCAATCCCTTGCCTTCGGTCTAACTGGGGGTCAACCCCACCTAATAAATGTAGAAGGAATGACAGAATCTGAAAACCACTCTTTACAGCTCCCCCTGAAATTGCCAATTCAGACAAGGGTCCTCATTGGCATATACTAAACCATAAGGTAGAAGGTTATTAACAAGTTATCTGCATGATATCCAATTATCACCTCACAGTTAGCTTTCCAATTGCGAAAGGATAGACGTATCCTTACAATGGAGACTACCTTAATTAATCGATTGAACTTGGAATTCCTAATGGCGGGACAATCAGGCATTATGTCCTTCCTGTCATGATGCAAGAAGATATTACACAGCCTTACGGCATCACGCCTATGAAGTATTCTTGCCAACAGCCCAGTTTAAGCTGAATGTAAAAACATTTGCACCTAACTTCCAGTTCACAGAAATGCAGAGGGGCTAGAGGAAGCAATTATATAACCCTACAAGTAAACACGCAGAGAAATCTAGAACTTGAAACAGGCTACAAAACCTTCACTAGTCTCTTTCACAATTTTTCCATGACAGTTACTTCTCAATGTCCTAGAAAAATATAAAGTAGAAGGACATCTTTAGAGTAAAAGGGAACAAAGAAATGTCATAAACAAATGTGTGAGCCTTAACCATATCCTAGTCATCTTTTATCTGCACTCCACCCACCCCAACCACCCCCCAAAAAAACCACAGCAATTACAAAAGACACTTGAAAACTGGTGAATATCGGAATATAAACTAATTATTAGACAACATTGGGGAATTACTGTTGATTTTCTTCAATATGACAATAGTAATGTGGTTATATAAAGGAACAGATTTTTTTAGGAGACGCACGTTGACGTTTTTAAGGATGAAGTTACTCTGATGTTTGCAACTTACTTTCAAATGGGTTAGCAACTTTGCGTTTGAAACTTTTTACAATTAAACTGGAACAAGTAAAAAATGTATTAAATCTTTTTTCTCTCAATCTAAGCAAGAAGTTTTTAGTGGAGGCAAAGTAATTATTCTCATCAACCATTAACAATGGAGCAGTACCCAAAGCCTAGGGGCTAATGTTTTAGAACTGCCATATTGTACTAAAAAATCTCCTAGGGTCCAAATGCAGTCATGACCTGCTTAATTTGTGTTTATGAGGAGCCCATGGGAATTTTTAGACTGCTAACTGCCATTCTGGTAGGAAAAGTCAGGTAGGAACAAGAGGTAGGGGACAGACGGAATTGAAGCAAACAAAATTTTGTTTGACTTATTTTACTCATCTTTAGGAAGAAAAAGATTTCAAGTATGATTCCTTTCAGGGCCATTGCACCCTTCCAGCGACTGATGTCATAAAAAAAATGTTAAATCCTTTTATAACTTATAAAGACTTTCACATAGATTATCTCTCTGACTGCTTAAAACAGACTTAGGAAACAGAGAAAGCAAGTAATATTCCCAATGGACAGATGAGGAAAATGAGGCTCAGAGAGGCCACATGATTCACCTGAGGTCGCACAGCTAGTTATGTCGGCCCGGGTCATTCACACATGACCACTGTCCTCTAGCACGGTCACTGAGTGGCTGTCTTACAAGGAGTAACGTTCGTTTCTCTGGAGCTTCAGTGTTTGGACTAAATAGCCTCAGGCTCATCATGAGAAACTGCAGAGGTTAGAGGTAACGCTTGGCATCAGACCCCCTTTCTTCCATTGACAGAAGGTGGAGGGGGTGGCAGGTGGGAAGGGGCAAGAGCCCAGTCTACAAGGAGGCAACCTCCTCAAGGAGTCTGCACACTTCCCTGCTGTGTCACCTCCAGAGCAGGGACACTTCTTCAAACACAGTCACCTAGCAGGGTCCCAGGCCACGCAAGGAAATGAAAAGACCATGTGAGGCAAAGCAGTCATGGAAACAAGGTACAAGCAAGTACTGTGAAAAGCAAAGGCACCAGCAAATGAGTGCTATTACTTCAATCCGCTGGTCAAGCCCAACCCCTCACAGTGCCTAATGGCTGGGTGTTTGGAGTGGCTTCCCTCCATAACACGCTGTAACTGGGGGAAATTACTAATTCCGTGGCTTTCATAAAACACAGAGGTCCACCAAATGTTTGCTTGGCAGATTTTTTTTTCTCCCCAGAGGGCAGCTCATTAAGTCTGACAATAAAGCAGGCTTTGTTCTAAAGATTTACAGTGTTTTCCCAGTGCAAATTCTAATTGACAACCACTAGGAGAATAACAATGTAGAGCCAAGAGAGCTCTGGTTTCTTCCATTCTTCCAAGATCCATCTCAAAGAAGCACTCGCTTCTTAGTTTCCTGGACCAGTGTTTAGCTGGGTCTTTATTTAGACACCGGCATAAGCAGATGCTTGGGCATCAGAAGTAAGTTTATCATTCAAAGTAGTCAAATCTTAAAAACCAAAAAGATTTATTCTTTCCAGCTTCAAAGATAGGAAAATGTCATCTAATTCCCAGGCTCAGAATATTGGGTCCCTCCGTGCAGAATAAGCATGTTACCTAAAAATGGAACCATGCCTTTTCCATGGAAAGGGAGGGGGGACCCTAAAAAAAAAAAATAAAGTGCATGATGATTGAGAAGTCTTCAGAAATGGTTGCATGAGAATATTAAAGGCACTGCTATTCAATGGATCCATCATAGAATAAAAGTTCAAGTATCAGAGGGAGTAATTTCAATATGAATGTTGGGTGTTGTGGTCACAAACAACAGTCTCTCCTCCACACAGAGGACCAAGTCACATCAAGCAAGTCAGGGAGCTGTGAGTGACAAGGTATAGAGCGAGCGGGCTGTTCAGATAAGGGACAGACATTACTGGGCCCTTTTTCAAAGAAAACTTTGAAGATTTTGTTAGGCTTTCTTCATGGAACTGTCACGAGGTAACAATACAGTTGCAAATGAATGGTGCTCAGTGGTCACATCGCTGCCTTTTACAGACCAGCTGGCAATGGTTGCCCACGATGGAAAATTAGCATGAAAGAAGGAACTTCAGGTTACGGGGCTGACGCACAGCCCACAGAGAAAATTCCCAGATAAAGTACAACACCCAACACGGCCACACGAACCAAAAGCAAAATAAGACCCCTGTCTGAAACGAAAAGGAGAGAAAAAAAAATCCTCCTCACTTCTTCCTGAATCTTCCTGAATTTCCCCCTTCTCCAAACAGCATCCAGGTCCCCATGGTAAAAATAAGCAAAAAAACCCCATGGGCTTCCAATAGCATATATAGATGAAGAGAAGTGAAACTGGTAGAAGATGTGGGAGAATAACACAATTCACCCTCTTTTTTCCTTTTTTTTTTTTTTTTAAGTTTCTTTATGTATTTTGAGAGAGAGGGACAGAGCTGGACTGGGAGAGGGGCAGAGAGAGAGAATCCCAAGCAAGCTCCACAATGTCTCACAAAATGTGAGTTCAAGACCCGAGCCGAAACCAAGAGTCAGATGCTTAACTGACTGAGCCACCCAGGTGCCCCTCACCCTCCTTTTTCTAAGCAAAAACAGGGAAAGGAACCAAAGTGGGAACGCGCAGCACCCCAGGCAGGATCACCAGACCAGGAGTTGGGAGGTCCTAACTCTTATTATGCTAGTGTCTACCATGAGCTGTTTTAAAAAGCAACTTAACCTCCTGACTTTTCTTGTCCTCATCTGAAAAGGAAAGGATGCATCTTAATCAGCGGTTCTTAAACTGTATTCCTTGGAGCCCTCAGGTGCTATGGAGGTACCTCTAAGGCAACCACAGCAACACGGGGGTACAGCCAAAGGAATGGGGCCCCGTGCTTCCTCTCAACCCTAAACCATTCACAGTTGATCCATTTTATATACTGAGTAAAGTTGTGAGTAAAGTCTTTCGTTTAAAGAGTTCTAGTACCAAGAAGTTGTCAGTAAGGACTATTTGTTTTGTTTTGTTTTAAGAGTTCTATTACCAAGGCACTTCACAAGAAAAATGGCTTAACACGTCTTGTGGACCAACTGAACCAACACATCTTGTGATTTTTATCTTTATAATTATGTGGTCTCTATGTGCCTTTTTGCATTACTATTAGAATCAATGCACATTAATGTTGATCCTTCCAATCTGTATATCAGGTTCTCTTATTCTTACTTCCAGAGCAAGGAAACTGAAACTCAGATAGGACAAGTTTACCAAAAGTCACAGGACTCATAGTGGACAGGACTCAAACTCAGGAATGTCTGATGTGAAAATGAGTCAGCTCAACGCTGCCCTTAAAGAATCAACTTTGCTGTAAAGAAACCACTGGTTACCTCATTATTATTGCAATTCTTTCTCCATGGAACATCAGGTTCTTCATTTGTATATTCTGAGAATAAACACTTACCCTGGCGAGATGAAATGAATAGCCACAAGTTCTGCCCAACAAGCAAATCTGTTGGGTACAGGAAAGCCCAAAACGTTGGCAAAGCCTCCAGGGCAATAATGGTTGTTAAGAACTTTCAAAGCAAACAAAACTCCTAGAAGAGAATAAAGAGCATACAAATATCAACAATCCAAATGTGGAGACAATCAACATTTACAAAGAAAATGAACTGAATGTAAAAATGATTATTTGACTATATCCAACTTCTTGCTTTGAAACACACTCTATTCTTTACAAGTCAACCCAGCTTTTGGTAGAAAGACAATGTTCAAAATGTTCAAGGCAATTGTTCTTCTGATGTTTCCTAACACAGAAGGTCGTGGTGACTTTCAGCATGCTAGAAAATATATAACCCATAAAATGGGAATAAAATACCTGAAATGGTACTAAATGCCACTGAATTGTTCACTTCAGAATCGTTAATTTTAAGCTATGTGATTTTTCAACTCAATAAAAAAAAAATAGCAGTAATGTGTATATTTTGAACCTCTATGGAAAGATGTGTTGAGGGCAGGACATGTTTCCTTTCTTCTCCCACAACTGGTTGCATGAGGATGTATCTTAGAGGGAAGGGGGATGGATGGCAGGGAGGGTAGAGAAAAGAGTTAGATTTCCTTCTGTTGCAGGACTCTTTCCCTCCTCCCCTTCACATTCTAATTCTTAGAACACCTACTTTAAGCCCCAATGGCAATTTCAGTCCTATGAGATACATATAGAGTGACTATCATAGTTGTTAAAACATGGCACGCATGTCATGGTAGGGTGTGGTGCATTTTAATGAAGTCATTGAGAGGCATACTCAATGTTTTAGAGAACTCCTTATCACAGATACACCAGCGGGTCTCTCCTTGGCCCCACCATGATGATGGAGCAAGTACATGTTTCTAGAACTACATCTCCTAACAAAACTACCTTCGAGCAGACCCTGGTCCAAACAAATTGTCCAAGAGTGAATGAGGCAGTTAATCAGTGAATGATTAACATAGATTAAGAGCAAGATCTATGTCTCTCCTATGCTGCAATCATCCTTCTCTCCAAAATCCAAGCCCCGGCAATCTTTAGCCCCTCAGAATTCAGTTCCCTCGCCAAATAGGGACCCACATTTCATAAAATGGCAACAGCCACACCTCTCTGTCTTCATGCACTCTACTTTAGAAATCTATCTGCCTTACCAGAGAAACCTACAGCACAGTTCCTTCTGAAGACAGGTTCATTCATAAATTCTGCAAGAGCAAATTCCAACAACAGGTACACCACCCCGGTGAGTAGCGAGAATGTGACGATGACATAGGCAAACCATTTACTTCCCAGTCTCCTTTCCAGATTGATTCCTTTCCATAGCATGGATGCCATATTGAAATACAAATGCCAATCGTCTGCATGGTGAAAAGGAGAAAGCAGTAGGCGCTGCCAGTCTTTCTGCTGGTAACACGTCTCCACACTAAGGCAGGAGCTCAACAGTGGCTTCAGAGGACTCAAGAAGAACCAGATGTTGACAGCCAAAGTTGCTAGGGTGACAGGTGGAATATTGTTGACCCCAACATGGAAGATTTGAGAAAGGAGCAGAATAAGTCCAGTATTAATTCCTCTTGATCTCCGCTGCATGGTTAGATATCAACCCAGTGATGGGAAAATGTGGTCAGGTTTTAGGCATCTGGGAAGATATACAGGGAGCTGAACCTAAAACATAAAATAAAATGCACATGAAAATCCACTAATTAAGACTTAATGCGCCAATAAGACATACTCATTTGAAGATGAGCTTACGTTATATATACATATACGTACATGTGTATATATATATATATATGTATATGTATAAATATACATATATGTGTGTGTGTGTGTGTGTATATATATATACATATATATATATATGCATATATATCTCACACCTCCTGTCTGACAGAAACATTTATTATCAATGTCTTCCAGACCAACATCCAGGATGCTAGCTGATGTCCTCCCTCATCTTACATTCTAAAACAACATTTCACCCAAATCCCAATGGACCAGTTAATGGATGGGTATGCTTTCTGTGACAAATATGCCATGAAAATATGACTTGTCTTCCTTATAAATAAACTTGCAACCTAATAAAAAAAATCCTAAAAGATAGTATGTAAATATTTAATAACGATTTCTACTCAGAATGCTGAGCAAGATTCTTTACCACCTTAATTTTTTTAAAGAAATATTCAATTTTGATATATTCAATAAAGTCTGCCCAAAAGTTTTTATTTTTTATTTATTTACTTATTTATTTATTTAGCCCCAAAGTTTTTAAACTTCCACTGGCAGGTTTTAAAATGCGATCATTTACTATCCCCTACTCCATATTGTCAGTTATCAACTGCTAGGATGCTTTATCTTCACAAAAACTTCTGCTTTTTTAAAGTTTCTTGCTATGTGCCAAATCCTAGATTCAAATGGTCACTGTCTTTAAGGAGGTCACCTTCTACTAAGAAGTAAGCCAACAATTGCCATACTATATTTTAAGCTCAGTGACAGAGGAAGCCCAAACTCGAGGTGGTAACAGGACTGTGGTCTTACTGGAGTAAAACAGAGGTAGCAACAAGACAGAGCACCAAGTTCAGCACTACGTCTCCACCCCCTGAACCTGGGCTGGCCTTGTGACTTCCTCTGGCTGGTAGATCGCAAACAAAAGGACACTAATTCTGAATGTAGCCCTCGAGATGACTGACAGGCTTCTGCTTTCTCTTGAACCCCCCTGAAGCAACCAAGTGGCCAAGTCTGGGCTAGCCTGCTGGATGAGGGAAGACACAAGCTCCAGGCACCCTTATGGCCCTGACCACTAGCCAGTTAATGCCCCTGAAGCAAAGCTGTCTAGCTGACCAGCAGCTGACCACAGACAAGACATGAATCCAGCACAGCCCGGCCTAATTTGCTGACCCACAGAACAATGAGCTAAATAAATCATACTGTAACTTCACCAAGTGTTAGACTGGTATGTTACACAGCAATTACTCACCAATACTGAAGGGATTTCCTTTGGTGAGGGACTAGCTTAGGCTTACGGGAAGAAGTTAGTAAAGAAAGAGCCACAGACTAAAGACGCAAAAGATAAGAACTTAAGTCCTTGGAGGGAATAGCCTCGTCCATCATAACAGGAAGAAAGAAGAAAAATGTCAGTTGCAGATAAGGGTAAATAGGCAGGTTGGGGCCAGGATGCTGCAAAAGTTCTCATCTAGTGGTTTTTACACTATGGAGGTTCTTGGGCTCCCAACCAAATACATGACTTACTCTGATACCCTAAAGATTCTCATTCAGACAGAACGTTGGAAGGTACATGGGCTTCGGGCTAAAAACGGGTACAATTCTACTTTATAAGCTTTGTGACCTAGAGCAAATTACTTTAAAACTCTCTGAACTTTACTTTCTTCACTTTAAATTAGGAATGATGATACCTCCCTCCCAGGATTACTGTAATACGTCTGGAAAGCAGCAGATGTCGAATACACAGTAGACACATTTTTTTATTACTGTAAGGTAAGCCCACTTATGTGGGCAAGTTTTGCAAATTGTAGCATCTTAATAAGGTGCAAATGTACTCCCTATCCTCCTCCCACATGGATTCTCGGAAATGACCCAGAAAAAATTACGCTTGTGTGCATGCATGTGTGTATGTGTATACCCGCATTATTAGCACAACCCAAGGTTCTTTATTGCTATGGGCTTATTAACATAGTTCAATACCATTCTCATGAACTACAGAACTCAACAAAATTTCAACTGAAGATCAGCTCCTGGGTTATTTTAGAGAAACAGTCTATATTTTTCACATTGACATTCAAGTCGACTTTCAAATCTCCAACTACTGTGACTTTTTTTTGCAACACTCCCTAAATAATTTTAATATCAAACCTCAATACCTATAAAAGGAGCAATGGAAAAATACAGCCTTAAACATTAAGTGATCGGCTTATAAGAAATCACAAAACGAACCCTTCAATCTCAATATAAAGAGTGCCCTATGATGCCAGGTTGTGCACAGGAGGAAATCAAAACTAATTATGTCTTGGGGCGCCTGGGTGGCGCAGTCGGTTAAGCGTCCGACTTCAGCCAGGTCACGATCTCGCGGTCCGTGAGTTCGAGCCCCGCGTCAGGCTCTGGGCTGATGGCTCGGAGCCTGGAGCCTGTTTCCGATTCTGTGTCTCCCTCTCTCTCTGCCCCTCCCCCGTTCATGCTCTGTCTCTCTCTGTCCCAAAAATAAATAAACGTTGAAAAAAAAAAAAATTAAAAAAAAAAAAAAAACAAAACAAAACTAATTATGTCTTTGCTTAAGAAAAATTCCCCCTTGGGGCGCCTGGGTGGCTCAGTTGGTTAGGCATCCAACTTTGACTCAGGTTATGATCTCATGGTTCATGAGTTCGAGCCCTGCATCAGGCTCTCTGCTGTCAGCACCAGGCCCACTGTGGATCCTCTGTCCCCCTTCTCTCTCGGCCCCTCCCCTGCTCTCTTTCTCTCAGTCAAAAAAAAAATTAATAAAAGTATAAAAAATAAAAATAAAATAAAGAATAAATATTAGAAAAATAAAAATAAAGAATAAAAATTTTAAAAAAAAGAAAGAAAATTCCCCCCCTTGACTCCTTGACTGGAATCATTAGTGATGAGGAATATGAACAAAAAGACAATGGAATTTCCCCAATCTCATATCGCACTGTGCACTCAGGCTCATATTACACTTGCTTGACTTCTGCCCAAATCCAAAGGTCCCTTTCCATCCGTGTCCCTTCTCACCACCATCTCCAGCTGGTGACGCCTCCTGCCTCCTGGACACTGTGCTCTCCTGTACCGCAACCCCTCCTTCCAATCCCCCTTCCTCTGCTTTTCCCTTTTCCTCTATCCCTGCTCTCTTTTGCACATGCTCATGGAACTCCATTCCCACGGTTTCTAAAATCCTTTCTGTCATTTTGATTCCCTAAATTTATATTCTGAAGCCTGGATTTTTTAGTACGTTTCAGGATCATAATCTTACAGGAAGAATACAGCCTGTCTGATCTCTTGGTTTCTGAAAACTGAATTACCCCTCCTTCTCACAAAATGTCTACTTAGCCATTTCTTCTGTCCCTCATTGATTTAATAAACATCAAGTGCCAAAAGCATGCCAGTCTCTATGCCAGGCAGTAGAGGTACAGCAAAGGACGCAACACTTATAATCTCAGCCTCTACATAATCCGTTTCTATTTGCTGAAAGAAATAAAAATATTGGCTGTAGAAAATCAAAGGATGACTAAATTGGTGTGGTTCACACCCGCAACAAACGTATACTTAATGCGAAGGCAGATTATAACCACAGCCGATGTGAGATGTGCAGAATATATATTTGAGTCCCACATTTCCAAATAAAGGCCTCTAGAATACCAGTGTGGGTAGAATTAGAAGTCAGGGGTTTTATGTAGCAAAGATAAATGGGCATATTTCATACCAACTCTATGGCCCACTTTCCTTCCGCATAAAGCTATCGAGTCAGCCTTACGAAGTAAGGGATGCAGCCTGTAACATGGTAACAGAAAATCCACATGGTCCATGTGAAGATCAAATCTATAACCTGACCTTGTGGGCCAGGCAGGCACAGTTCTAGGAATACCAAAGGGAAGAGATCACAGTAAGTGAGCACTGACCATAAATGAATGTTGTTTTCTCCTGCTCATCTAATACATAAAAATCTTCAGACTGAGGAACTATAACAGACCACAGAGGCATGCTGGGTTACAGCAACTCGTCTATAAGCTGGAAACCAGTTCAGCGTGTTTGGTTGGGGAAGTGATTTATTTATTCTAACTTGTACCCAGACCATAAAGCAGTTACCACAGCCCAAGGAAGAGCAGGCTAGTCCCTGCACTCCCCCCACCTCAAACCCGTCTTTCCCCACATGGTCAACCTGCCCCCCTGCTGAACACTGGATCATCCCTTCTAATTCTGCTTCCATATTCATCATCTCAGGACACAGAATTTCCTGCTCCCCAGCTGTTCAAGTCAGAGATGTAGGAAACATCCTTGACCCGCCTTCGCCCCCATCAATCCCCGACCCCCACATCCCATCCACCACACGTAGTTGATTCTTCCACAGTGGGTGTCAATCTACTTCTTTCTAGCTCTTGAGCCCTAGTCCGATCTAAGCCACAATCATACCTTGCCTGGATTACAACAAACTCCCTAACTGGGTTCTCTGCTTATCCTCATACCCACCAACTGTTTTCCACCACCACCCACAGTAATCCCTATAAAACCGAAGTTGGATTCCCCCACAATGGCTTCTCATGAAAGTCAGAATAAAGTCCAAACGCCTAACCACAACCACGTGCTGTGACAAATAGGACCCCGCCCACCTCTCTGGTCTCTTCCCCAGTCACTGTGCTCCCATACCAGGAGCTCCACGGTTGCAGCAGAAATGGCCAAGGGCAGAATTACCTTATCTGTTCTGATCACCACCGAATACCCAGAGTCTAGCACAGTGACTGGCATAGAGTTAGTGCTTAATCAGTTATGTGCCCAAGGACTCCATATGCAATAAGTAAGACTGACTGAAAAGGCTATAATCGGTTCATTTCTAAGTATTTTTCCTACAAACTGGAACCACCTTCCCCACAGAACTATGCATATGAATCCATTTACATTTTAGCTCCAGAACAGTGTTTACAGCATTTATCTTAACT